GTTCCCCAAGCTCAGTCAAATTTGTGAGGGTGTCCACTTCCATTGGAATACCCTGCAACTCATTTGCTCCACTTGCTGCATTTTCCACGATAGAACCAGTTGCAGTGCCTGTTTGAAGTCCAGTTGGGCTTCAGCTAGTAGGCACTTTGCATAGTCACTTCATTAATCCCACATATCAAATGGGTCTCTCAGCAGCTCATTAAGGGTTAAACCAAAGTCACATGCCTCTGCCAGTCATCTTAATCTCATCAAAAGTCCTGACACAGATTCCCCTGGCTCTTGGACTGCCGAGTAAAGCTAACAGCATCTCAGAATTAGAGGAGACTTGGGGTGGTAATATTCCTTAACTAAACCTGTCAAGTCTTGAGTGGTTTTAATATCTGGTGCCTCAGGGAAAGTTAGGCTCCTAATAAGCAAAGATGTCGCAGGCCCACAAGCAGTCAAAAGGATTACTCATTGCTTTTCATCTACCCCAATGTCATTTGCCCAGAAAAAAAAAACACATTCTTTCCACCTACTGGGTCGAGTCTTCGAGAGTAGAATCAAATGAGTCAAGCTTCACAAATAATGGCATGATGTCAGAAGTGCTTACCCCAACTCAAAGATGACTGTTGCAAGTGAATTTCTTCAGGAACACATTTTTTTCTCTTGTCCCCACTGAAATAACTCCACAGAGGCTGGTATCCCATCACTAAGTCACCCTTTATTCACACGTGCATAGTACTTGACACTGATCCAGCTCCCTCAGAGCCCACTCTCAGAGTGAACAAGATGTCTGACACTCCTGTTTCTAGCTGTCAGCCAGGGATCCCTGATTGGACCAGATTAACAGCCCCAATCAGGGAACTCATATTCTATGAGGTCCACCTGGCTGACCTTATTACAATCAGTACATAAGAATTCTTGACATTGCAGAAGGTTAAGTAGAAAGGAAGACAAGCTCCAGTAGCCCTGTTAATAACAAATGAGATTAGGACTTTTGTGAGGAATGAGCTCGAGTCGGAAGATCAAGATTAGGGCAGCATGGTGGCTCAGTGGTTAGCACTGCTGTCTCACAGTGCCAGGAACCCCGGTCCGATTCCACCCTCAGGCGACTGTCTGTGTGGAGTTTGCACATTCTACCTGTGTCTGCGTGGGTTTCCTCCGGGTGCTCTGGTTTCCTCCCACAGTCCAAAGATATGCAGGCTAGGATGGATTGGGCCCACAAAGTTGCTTAGTGTCCAGGGATGTGCAGGCTTGGTGGATTAGCCATGGGAATTGCAGAGATAGGGTAGGGCTGTGGGTCTGCATGGGAAGCTCTTTGCAGGGTCAGTGTGGACTCGATGGGCCAAATGGACTGCTTCCACACTCTAGGGATTCTATGATCTAATCAGTTTAGGTGAGGCGATGACACGGCAATACAAAGAAGCCACTGTCAAAAGTAAAATGGCAGGCACAAGTTAACAAAAGTTTTTTTTTAGAAGTATTGACAAACACACCTATACAAAAAAAGCCATAACACTTTCTCATGTGCAGCCAATGTGTTTCTAACATATATTCATGAAGCTGGATGACCTTAAACAGTTAATAACCTTCTTACTGCATCTCAAATCATAATTCCAGATTTAAATTCAACAACTGACAGTGTTAATTACAATAGCATCCACTGAATGTTTGCAGCTTTAAACTAGAGATTCCACATTCATTTGCAAGGAATTTGTTAACTCTGATTTCATGATATCCTTGCTCCCAGATAGTTGAGTTATGTTTTCTTTTGGTGACAGGTTTAACATTGTTCTCTCCACGTTACAGTCACCTTCAGCTCCCTTCTTCATTCCCCCGTTCACTCTCGCACTTGCTGCCTCCTTTGTCTCCCATTATTTCTTTTCCCTCTCTTTGCTGCCATCTTTCTTCCCCTTTTGGTAGCCTCCTTTTCCCTTCCCCCACATAGCTTCTCCCTTCGCCTTGCAGCCCTCTTCCTCCTCCCCACAACTGCCTCTTTTCATTTGCAGTTTCCTTCTCCCTTCCCAGCCTCTCGTAACCTCCTCCTCCTTTTTATCCCCCCACTAATAGCCCATTTTTCTTCACCTCCACCCCTCACAACTGGACCAGCCAATAGGAATCCGGTATCCAGGCCCAGCTGCAGCCAGATAATTTCCCAGAAATCCAAGCTGCTCCACCAATCTTTGAAAATCTCCACCAAAGACGTCTGAGTGAAAAAAAAATTAAAACATTGTCCCCTAGCTCACAACTGACTCACAAGAGGAAATATCGTCTCCATTCTTATGTTGTCGAGACCATTCAGGATCTATAGACTTCAATTAGGTCACACCCCCACCCCACACGCCACACTCTTCTAAACTCTTCTCATAAGACAACCAGATATCAATTGAGTAAAATCTCCTCTGAACTACCTCCAATGCATTTTCATCCTTCCTCAGTAAAGAGACCAAAATTGCAGTGTTCAACATAGGGTTCTCACCAATTCCCTACATAACGGAAGCCTAACACTCTTATTTTTATGTTCAGTTCCTCTTCTTGTAAAAGATAGCATCCATTCGCCTTCTCGATTATGTGCTAAGGTTTTGTGATTCATGCCCCAGAACACACACATCCCTCTGCACACAGTCCATTTAACTAAGACTCTGTTTTTTCAGTTTTCTTGCTGAAGCAAACAATTTCACATTTTCCCACAATATACGTCATCTGTTAGATTTTTGGCCACTCATAAAGTCTATCGTCATACCGCACGGAAACAGACCCTTCAGTCCAACCAGTCCATGCTCTCAACCATAATCCCAAACCAAACTAGTCCCACCTGCCTGCTCCTGGCCCATACCCCTCCAAATCTTTCCTATTCATGTACTTATTTAAATGTATTTTAAATGTTGCAATTGTAATCACATCCACCACTTCCTCAGGAAGTTCATTTCACAAGCGAACCTCCTCACTTAACCTTTCTGTAGCCACCTGCAACCTCCTGTCTTCACACCATGCTTTCCTACCTATCTCAATGTCATCTATGAATTTATCGACCATGCGTTCATTCTTTTCCTCTAAATCATTGATGTAAATTATAAAATATCAAACCCCCAGCACAGATGCCTGCTTATCACTCAGCTGCCAGATCATATTCATTTATTTTGGTATTCCCCGTAGATACATTTATTTTGTTATGAATGCTACACACAGTCTGAAGCAGTTTAGTTTTATCATCTTATCTTGGTAACATCTAGTCTTTATTGCCAGTCTATTCCTTGGATTTTCCTCTCTGACCCTTCCTGCCATTCTCTAACCCTTAATTTCCATATTACTATTTTCCTCTCTCACCTTGTCCTTACCCTTTGATACATTTGATCCCAGGACCCCACTATTTAATTTAAAACCCTCTCTACTTCCCGAGTTATGTAGTTTGCAAGCTCACCCATCCCATCATAGTTCAGTTGTTGACATTCCCAACAGTACAGCCCCCATTTTTCCCTGTATTAGTGCCAATGCCCCACAAACCAGAACCCACTTCTCTCACGGTATTCTTTGAACCACACGTTCATTTCTCTAGTTTCATACACCCTCTTCAATTTGTAAGCAGCTCAGATAATAATCCAGACATTATAATCTTTGAGCTTTTACTTTTCAATTTAGCATCTAGTCCCTTCTACTCAGTACAGAAACTCTTTCCTATTTTTATCTATGGCTCAGAATGACTGGATCCTCCCCCAGCCATAAAGTCTCCTCTTCAGCACTGAACAAATGCGGAGTTGTGAATGCAGCCCAGTCCATCACAAAAGCTAGCTTTCCTTCCACTGACTCCATCTACACTTTGTGCTGCCTCGGGAACGCAACCAACATCATCAAAGATCCCTCCCCACTCCAGTTATTCTCTCTTCCACCCTGGCAGGAGATACAAAAGTTTGAAAATACATACCAATTGATTCAAGAACAGCTTCTTCCTGCTGCTGTTATCTGACTTCTCAATGGACCTCTTCTATATTAGAATTGATCTCTCTCTGCACCTTCTCTGTAGCTGTAACATTATATTCTGCATTCTGTTTGAGTATCTTGATGTACTTATGTAAGATATGATTTGGTAGCAAAACAATATTTTTCACTGTATCTTGGTACATGTGACAATAATAAGTCAAATCAAATCAAATCAAAGACGGGGAAGGCAGCGCAGCCATCCGGACTTTTGCTAAGTGCTGCAGAGAATGGAATCAATCCCTTTCATTAGAATAACCCTAACCAGTACCAGTAGATTGCTATAATATTTTTTTTTTCTGAACAAGGGTCCAGACTCAAAACAAGCTTTCCTGCTCCTCTGATGCTGCTTGGCCTGCTGTGTTCATCCAGCTCTACACCTTGTTATCTCAGATTCTCCAGCATCTGCAGTTCCTACTATCTCCCGATAGATTGCTAGTTGTTCCCCCTATTGGAATAGTTTCCTGCCCTGGTCAATTAGCTCATCTGCTCTGAATTCCCTGCTGTCATCCAAACAAACTGAAAGAACTGCAAACTTCTGGGACAACTGCAGTGGCTAACAACCTTGCCATCCTACTCTCTGCCTTACCAGCCTCACTCCCAACCTTGACTATTAACCAAATCAGAACCCCTTTCTGAAGTGGGGCCTGTAGGAGCATGAATCCAGGTGACTCTCCCCCTCCTGATATGTGGCAGTGTCTGTGGTTCAGCCTCCAGCTTATACACTCTGAGAAGCTGCTGGCACTTCAAGCATTTACTGCAGAAGTATTTGTCCTGGATCACAATACCATCCAGGTGCTCCCATACACTGCAGCTTTGCCACATCACCCATACTGCCATCCTTAGCTACTTTTAATTGTTGAATGATATTATTACTTACGAAAGTAGCTTTCTATATATTTATGGTTCTTGCAAAGATTTGCAAAGCTCGGGTTGTGGATAAGGTTGTTGACTTGCTCGCCGAGCTGTCTGGTTATTGTACAGATGTATCGTCACCATGCTAGGTAACATCATCAGTGTGGCCTCCGATGAAGCGATATTGTTCTACTGCATTTGAAATTTACACGATCCAGTCTGTTAAATTGGGTTGTGTCATTTCTGGTTCTGTTCTGCATGGATTTGTAAATGGGGTCTGACAGCACATGTTTGGTGATTGCATTACAGGTTGAAAACCAGGCCTCTAGGAATTCCCATGCGTGTCTGTGGTTGGCTTGAAAGTTTGTCGTGTCGTTTTGCTGTTAGCTAGTGTTCATGTATCCTGATGGCTAGTTTCTTTCTAGTCTGGCTGATGGATGTTTGTTGCAATCATTGCAAGGTATTTTGTAAACTGCATTGGTCCTGCATGTCATGGGTACGGGGTTAATGGTCCTTGTGAATGTTTGTCACAGTGTGGCTGTGAGTTTGTATGCTACCATGATTCCTAGTGATCATAGGAGTCTTGTTGTCAGTTCTGATATGTGATATGATATGATACATATCACTGACAACAAGACTCCTATGATCACTAGGAATCATGGTAACATACAAACTCACAGCCACACTGTGACAAACATTCACAAGGACCATTAACCCCGTACACATGACAAGCAGGACCAATGCAGTTTACAAAATACCTTCCAATGACTGTAATGAAAACGTGGAATTAGACCCCATATACAAACCCATGCAGATCAAAACCGGAAATAACACTACTCACTGTAACGGACCAGACAGTATAAATTCCAAGCTGAGTAGAACAACATCGCTTCATCAGAGGCCTCACTGATTATGTTACCTAACATGGTGACAAAATGTCTGTACGATAACCAGCCAGCTCGGCGAGCAAGCCAACAACCTCAGCCTTCTACACATTTCATTAGTTTTACTAACAATTTATATACTATGTTAAAGTTTAAGAATACTTTGACCACTTAACAGCCTTATCAACCAGCTAGCTCCTTTTTCTTTATTCGAGTAAGAACCAATTCCAATTTCTTCAGGGTCTTCTGCTCTTCTCTAAGCCAAAAAATTTACGTTAAGAAGTTCTATTTGAATTCTGTAATGCAGATTCAATCCACAATGATCTCCAGTAATGATAGGGGAAGTGAGTAAGCCTCTCTTTCATAAGGTACATATAGCAGAATGTTATACAGGTGTGAATAACACGGACTATGGTGGAATATGTGGCAGAAGTGGACAACAAGTGCAGTGAGTCCAATCTTGACACTGGGAGCAGCTCATTCCATCCTTTCTGCTTTTACCAGGAGCATGGCGAGATTCCCACTTGGCAACAGCATGTTGCCAATTGATGGTCACTATTCATTGTTAAATGCCTTGTCAATGGCCTTCCTACCTGTGATTAATAACCAGACTCCCATCTGAACAAACTCATCAAACACAATTGGGAACAGGGAAATGGCAGATAATTTAAACCAATATTTTGCTCCAGTCATCAGACATCCCAAAGATTTCAGT